TTTTTTTTTTTTTTTTTTTTTTTTGTACCGGGTATCAAACTCAGGCCCTATTGCTAGGCAGGCGGCAGAACCACTGAGCTAATTTCCTGGCCCCACCAGCCCTTTAGAAGTGCTGTAAACATAGTCTGTTAAAAAAATAGTTTGTCTCAGGCTCAGATGGACAGCGATCAATGGGAATTGAGTGAAATGTCTTAGGAGAGGAAGAATGAGACAGTGTTTGAGCTCATAAATAAAAGCAAAATTGGCAAGAAGAAAGGCAGTAACAGAAAGGGTGTATGTTTAACCAATGTGTCTGTTGTTTCCAAGATACTTTAAAGCATTCTACTCCTGTGCTTTCAACCTGGAGAAATACAAGGAAAATAAATGATTCTACACTACCATCCAATTTAGCCAGTAGAGATATTTGGAGTCGACTTACTACTTCCTTCAATCTAATTAAGTCCACAATTACCCTCCAAACACCATTTAGGACTCCCTGTACTCAATTGGTATCATTAAGTAGCTCTTGGTTCTCATAAGCTCAAGGACTTTCAGCTTTCTAAGTGATCCTGGAAGAGCATTTTTTTTTTTCTAAATTTAGGATTATCCCATTATTTTGAAGCATTGGAGATAAAACTAGCCTTTGATTTCTAAGTCCATTTGGCAATAGCAATAATGGCACCCAACTGAAGGAGAAGTCAGCAGCCTGGTTTTGGTTGCACATTGAGATCACTCAGGGAACTTCATCAACTGCTAATGCCTGGGTCCCATCTCAAGTACAGATGGAGCATCGGGGCTTTTTGTTGTTGTTGTTTTTCAGCATTGGAGATTGAATTAAGAGCCTTTCCCAGCCTTTTTATTTTGAGACAAGGTCTCACCAAGTCACTGAGTTACCCAAGTTGGGCTTGAACTCATGATCTTTCTGCCTCCTAGAATGCTGAGGTTACAAGTGTGCATCACCATGTGTGCCCAGCTAGCGTGTATTGGTGTGCAGCCAAACTTGGAGTGCTCTTTCACTGTAACAGCATTTTTAGTCCCAAACAGTTTCTGAATTTGGAATGAGTCAAGTGCCCGGTCTCTCTCTGCCTCTACTTCTCACATACAATTACTTGTCGACTTTATTATTATTATTATATTATTATTATTATTATTATTATGCTCTCATTCTGCATTTACGAGTGCAAGCTCTTTGAGGTTAGAAAGACCTTCCTTAAGAACCTACCAAACACATACTTTGTACAGCATTGGAAACGACGCCAGTGTAAACCGTGGACTTGGGGAGACAAGGATGTGTTGGGCTAGGCTCATCATTTGCAGTGCTGTGGTGCAGAATAGTGGGTACGTGGGAGCAAGGGGGGTGTAGGAACTCTGCACCTTCCTCTCAGTTTTGCTCTGAACCTAAAACTGCTCTTTAAAAATTAATCTCTTTAAAAACAAAGAAAAGGGGCTGGGGACATAGCTCAGTGACACCATGCTTTCCTGGCAAGTGCAAGGTCCTGAGTTCGATCTCCGGTGCCAGGGGGAATAAGATAAATAAAGAAAAACAAAAACACCTCATTACCTTGGGGCATGTTACTTACGTGTTCCAAGTCTTAGTTTCCTCATTTATAAAATTGGGTAATAATACCTATCTCACTGTTGTAGATCGAGATGAAATGTAACATGATTAAAAAATGCAATGAATTAAAATTTTTATTTATTTTATTTTATCTATCTATTTTTTGGGGAACTGGGGATTGAACTCAGGATCTTGTGCTTGCAAGGCAGGTGTGGTGCTGCTGAAGTAATTCCCTGGCCCCAATTTTTTTAAAATTTATTACAATAAAAGGCACATTGCCATTAACTCCTGTCGAGATATCTCCCCTGCTCCTCCCTTGGAACACACCCCGTCATTCTGCCACTTCCCGAAGCAGTTCTGAAGCACTTCTCTCACATGTCTCTAGTTGTGCTGTTACGGCGACCTTGATATTCTGACTCTGTTCAAAACATTTACTGTCATTGTAATTTTGACTCTGAGGAGAGGCATGAGTCACGTGGCTGCAGATCCAATGAGTACGGTGGCCGAGGAGGTACCGTAGTGTGTTAACGAATTTGCCTTGCTGTTGGACGGCACTCTGCTGTGACATTCACTGTATTTTTGATACAACCTCATAAAGACACAAAGGAGGATTTCCACAACTTCAGAAAGTAAGTGGTAAGGACAGTGGGAGAAGTGTGTTCAAAGCAAGGGATAATATTTAGTAGGGTTCATGGCAGGGCATCTTTTTTACTATACTTTTTTTTCATTTAAACATTCACAGTTTATTTTGCTCATCCCTTATATGAAGTGCTTAGGGATATGCTTGCCATACAGAAAGCTCCCAGAAAAAAGTGGTTAAAAGTATGGGCTGGAAGTCTTGCTGTTTCACAAATATCTGTGTGATTTTTGTACAGTAAAATCCTTTCTTCCTCGAAGACCTCAAAAGTGTAGTGACAATTCTTCAAAATAATATGGTTAATACTCAGTACCCTGCCTGACACTTAGTATCTTCTTTTTTTGTGTGCGGTACTAGAAGATCAAACTCAGGAACTTAGGCTTGCCAGGCAGGCGTGGCACTGCTGAGCTAAATCCACAGCCCTCTTAGTATCTTCTTAACAAACATAGCTGATGCTGTTCTGTGAGGCTTTCTTATATCATCTCTGGGACTCTTTGTCATAGGATAAATCTGACGGATTTTACACAGTAAAAGTTATTCCCTTGGAGGGATGTATTTAATACCTCCAGTCTCCCAGATAGATTTAAATTTACATTGAAAAATTTGTAGCGCTTTTTCATTTTTCCTCTTTTGTCCAAGAACATGTATTCATTTCTCTTCTGACTGTTTGAAGCATGGAGGGGAGAAACCGAATAGTATGTTACAAAGGTGTGTAACCTGTGAGAGAGGATTTTGTGAATAATTTATGTCTGGGGGAAAAACACACCATCTCAGAACATAGAATATGCTCCTTCCCAATGCACTGAAACAGTTTTATGTTTAGTTTTTCTTTCCCTGCCCAGGTAGCTTTGTGATGCTGAGGAACTACATTTAAATTAACCATAGCCTTAGGTGTGTGTTTTTTTGTTTTGTTTTTGGTACTGGGGATCGAACTCAGGACCTTGCATTTGCAAGGCAGGCGCAGCACCACTGAGCTAAATCCCCAGCCCGTGTGTGTGTGTGTGTGTGTGTGTGTGTGTGTGTGTGTGTTCTTAAAAGCTTCATACAGGAGGGATTCTGCACTTCTGATAACCAGCTTAGGTTACATCTCCTCCTTTAATTAGTCATAGCAGGACAAGGTGCTGGGAATCTAAGCAGAGTGATGTGTCCTCATAGGAAGGACTGTGTGTGTACAAGAGAGTAGGGTGGGAGAGGAAGCTGGGCATCTGGGCAGATGAGATACATATGCCCATTATAGTCTAGAGCTCTGGGGGTCTTGCACTTTTATTTGGACAGCCCTGCACATTGGAATCTTACCTAGATAGGAGAGAGAATTTTAAAGGCCTGCAAAGTTATATTGCTGACATGTATCGCTATGTAACGATTTGAGTTGTGTGCTTGCTTACACATGCAGTAATACCTCAGTTCACGAGCACTTCTGTCCACAAACAATTCATTTCTCAAACAAAAGCTGCCAACAGACTTTTGCTTCCATTCTTCACAAGCTCCACATCAGGTCACAAAAAACAATGGAGGCCATCTTCCCTACCCAAACATGATGAGGCCATCTTCTCCTAAGTCGCAAAACAAGTTGAATTCATGAGCCAAGGTACCATTGTCCACCCTAAGGCTTCAGCATCCGAGGGCTTATTCCCCAGCCTCCATCGTCTTACTGTGGTGCTTCTCACTCTTGTTTGATGTATTCAGGAGCTAAGAAAAGTGAACCAGGGTCTTAAGGAGACAAGAAAGCATTATATTTATTTGAAAGCTATTGTATTTTATCTAAACATTCATCCACATTTTGTAATGTACCCTATACTTTTCTCATTTAGGTTTAAATAAAATACAAATTTTAGTATTACTAAAAGTTAATAAATTACATTGTCATTCCAGGAAGATATGCCTCATTCCTTTGATTTTAAATAATCCAGAATAAATCATGTGGGTTGAGAAAAGTAAGCCTTTGGATCAAAAAAATCAAGATTTTTGATCCCACTAGTGGGGATTTTAGATACTGAGCATTAGGTGTATTTTAGATAAAAAGGCCTTAGATCAGAGAGCTGGGGGGATTGGTGCCTTACCACTTAACTTGCTATAATTGGTTTCAGGTTACTTCTCCAAAGTACAATTTCTAATCTCAAGAGAATTAATGATAGTAGCTACCTTGTAGTATTGATGTGAGGTTGGAATAATTCATGTAAAATTACTTTGAGTGTCAGAAAAATACTCGATAATGTTTAACTGTCTTCATTAACTTGGCTGTTTATCTGTGTTCCGGCATTACTTTTCACGTTAGGATCCCAAGATTTGGTTTTGCTTCCTCCGATGAATGCAGTTAGTTTGTTCAGGTTTTTTTTGAGTTTCCTTTAATGTTACAAAGTTAAACCAGTGAGGGTATAAATAGAAGAATAAAAGAATTAAAGTGTGGAAGATGGTGTTGGGTGCTATCAATTTATAATCAGCATGTCCTCTCTTTGTTAAAAGGAATTACGGTTCCTCTCTTTTTGCACAATGCCACGCGCTGGAGAAGGGGTGTCAGCAGGTCCTGTGGCTCTATGGAGAGGATCACCAGATAACTGAAGTCGGAACGATGAATCTTTTCCTCTACTGGATAAATGAAGATGGAGGTAATCCACCAGATGTCAGCTTTGTGCTTTTTTCAATCTGTTTCAGTGGGACTGGGAAGACAAGAACTGGAAAATGAGGACGACTATAGGGTGGCACAGTCGGTCGCAGAACTAAGAATCCTGTACTCTTGCTGTTAAGTAGACATCAGTTTAAAGAAAGTGTAAAGGTTTTGCTTTGTTATCTTGTTTTTGCTTTTTTTTTCCCACTAGATGTACTGATTATTAAGGTGTCAAATTAAGTGATTTTTTTTTTAAGAGTAGGAAGAATTCATTGAGAGATTCTAAGAGAGACAGAAGGGGTGCTGGACATTAAGCCCCGAATTAAGCTATATTAGGTTGCTGTGAGTTAAAGATTTGCTGCCCCATCCCCTTCTGCCAGCAGGAGATTTACTGTACTGAGGTGTCTGCGTGGATTTATATCCATGCATTTCACATCTATATATAGATTAGAGTGCAGAAGAAAAGAATACATACATATATTTGCTTCAGGAGCTAGGTTTTGAACCCAGGGCCTGCTACATTGTAAGTAAGTGCTCTTACCTCTGAACTGCACACCCCAACCCTCTTGCTACAATTCTTTTAGCAATTGTTGCCTTTTGTAAATATTTCAATAATATATTAGAAGTCCTCCATTCGATTAAAGCACAACACTGAAGACAAACTATTGTGTGCTGAGATTGTAGCTAGATCCCAGTTCGTTCAATAGTTACTGTACGTATACTGTAGAAATCAGTGTTTCTTCCTTTAATATCCTGAAGGCTGTCTTTCTCTTCTTTTTTGTTTTAGTTGCCAGAGACCAGAGGTGTTTGGTTAAATGTTGACAACATATAGTACTAAGTTAAATGTCCAAAAGGGAGGAGAAAAGTAGACATGCACTTATTTCCATTGGAATTTTGATAGTCATACTAAAGTTAGAAGCACATTTTTTGGCTGGTTCATGCTCTTAGACTACTGATTTCACCCTGAGTACAGGACTCAAAATGTAAAATGTTTCCAAGTACTTGTGAGGTCTCAGTATTGCTTTTAATTAGTATTTTTTCAAATGAAAAATAATTTTATTTATTTGTTTGTTTGTTTGTTTGTTTTTGTACTGCGGATAGAACTCTCGGGTACTTGAGCCTGCAAGGCAGGCGGCAGAACCACAGATCTAAATCCCAGGCCCTTTGAATGAAATTTTTATCTGACAGGAGTCTCTGCTGCTTTTATGTCATTTGACTGCAGACAGAGGGACAGAGGGACGTAGTGATTCAGATGTGGCTGAAGCCATTTTGAGTATTAGCTGCAGAGGCTCACAAGATGAGCCCTGTTCCATCCAGGTAGGAGCTCACCTTCCACGCTGGGCCTTGGTTTAATAATCCCTGGCATGTGAGAAGGCAGGCGCAGTTCATGCTCATACTTCCACCTCTGCTGTTTGTATCTGGCACTGTTTAAAAACAAAGCTTATACTGGCATATTTGTGACTCCTAAATTAGAGTTGTTACTCATACATATATCAAAAGTTACACCAAGAAGCTGGCCGGTGTTGAACTGTCATAATAGATTGTACTCTTTTCCTACCTTCCTGCTCCTGCCACCCCATAAAACACCCCACATATAGCCCCAAAACAAAAACAGTTAACATCCTTCTGAGTTGGTACCGTATTTTCTTCTGTATGGGAGATGCCAGTATTCAAGTACCATCTGAATCAGAGCTCTATGCTTTAACAAGAAACTGTCCTCGTCAGAAATTGTTCTTTATCCAAACAATGATTGTGGAACATTTCTACTCTGGCTTTTAAAGGTCAGAATAAAAATGAGTGAATTTGTCTTCTGCCTCTTGTAAAATATATAAAACCCTTAAGAGTTACTCTTTAGTGCTCTTGCCTGAGACAACTTTGGGTTCGCTGTCGTCCTTCAACTGGGCGTTGGGTGTTCCCCTAGCAGGGCAAGTAAAATTTGAAATAAGGAGAAAGGAAATGGAGTGAATGTTAGAACGGTACTATGAAATCAGAAAGTAGGACCTTCAGGATCAACCCTCAGGATAAAAAAAGACCCTGTAAAATACTTCTAACCATGTGGCTTTCAGAAAATGCAAAGCTAAGTTGAAAATCCACAAAATACCGATCTTCAAGAGCAGGAGGCATAAACAGCTCTTTCAGAGTGATCTTGTGGGAAAGGAGCCTGCATAGGAAGGTAGATAAGGCAGACTGTGTTCAAAGCACACTGATGTGCACAGTAGCTATTTGTGGCCCTTGGACCGGAACTCAAGGGGATTTTGATTCCAGTAACCAACTGTGGTGGTTAAGATTACACAAAAATTGTACACATCCTTTTTTCTTTTTTTTCCAGCACTGGAGATTGGATCTAGGGCCTTTATACTGAGCTACATTCCTAGCTGCCAACACCACCCCTTTCTTATTTTGAGAAATGTCTTACCGAGGTCCCTAGGCTGGGGTCGAACTCATGATTCTTTTGTCTCAGCCTTGCGGAATGCCAGGATTTTACAAGCACGTGCCACCACACGTGGTTTCCATTTTCTTTTTCACTCTACTCATGATTAGTTAAACTTTGTGCTGTTTGAACACATAATTTTATCATGTCTGGGACACTGGAGATACTTAAAACATTAAGACCCAGCCCTTATGTCTAAGTCCTGTTAGTTTAGGAAATTGACCGAGGCAGTGAGTAGTATTGTTGTTGCTCAGTCACTTGGCCCGTGAACCTCTGGGACACACCACTTGTTTATTTCTTTGGAGCCCTCTTCCTCGCGTATCTGCATGGGGGGAGGTCTTTCACAGCCTCCAAGTCTTTGCTTTCAAATCTCACTGTCCCGTTGGATGTCCCCGAGCTCATAATCAGCTGTAAACTGTGCCCCCCATTAGTCCTCAGCGCTCCCCCGTCCTTCCCTCTTTTTTTCCTGCATGGTCTGGCATGCTATTTAACACCGTAATTGCTTGCCCCCTGCCTGTTAGAAAATAAGTAGGGAGCTAAAGCAATTTGGTTCATAGAGCTCAGAGCAATGAACAACGCTTCATACATACTTGCTGAATAAACGAGGGCTTGTGCGGCTGGTGCTCAGGGCAGACGTGCAGACCCACATTCCTACTCTCCGTTCGTGCCTGACTTGGGGCAGTCACAGATGAATCCTGCTGTTATTGCTGTGAAATTCCTCCTTTCCCTAAAATGATCTCTGTCAAAGACAAGCTGCATTTGTAGGTTCTCTGTTTTCCTCCTGTTGGGCAATCTGGAGTTTGTTCTGGCTCTTGTGAGCATGTTTGTGGTTACAGAGGAAAATGAATATTTCTCACCCAAATGTTGTCATGTCATCGTCTCTGTCTGGCAACCAGAGCAGCAGATGTTCTGTTCCTTGACCTCAGGCTAGTGGTTGCAGTTTTGGGTGTTAAATATATTTCACAAAACAGCGTTTACACATGCAAAGCTGCTGTTTTCATTTAACTTTATGTAGTCTTGGAGCTCAGCAAGCTTTAGGAAAGGTTTGTTTCTGAGGCACTGCATATGTGCATGTGTTTGTTGGTGTGTGTAATAATTGTACACACATAGATCCATCCATTTATGCATCTAACCAGCTATCATAAAACACATGTTTATTTTGAGATCCTCCACACTTCTAAACATGACGAAAAGTAGCCCTGAGAACCTTGCCAAGAACAAATTTCTTCTCTCCTGAAAGCAGTTTTCAGAAACAAAATTCTCAAAAACCATACTGCTGTATCCTAGCAAAGACAGTTCATTTTTTTTTTAATTCAGAAACAATCATGTACCAATCTGGGCCAGCTAGGATGCTAAGTTTTGGGGATACAAAGATGAATACGGAGCCGGGGGTACCTGGGTAGAGCCCAGAAGCAGGTGAACCCAGAACCAGTACGTGCTGAAGGAAAGGTCTCTGCAATTGTGTGATCATCCATTGTAAGGTTCAGCATTGTGTAAGGTGATGAATTAAGATTTGAAGATTCAGTCTGACTCCCGGGTATCAGAAGGGGGAGGGAAGGAAGATGTCCTGTAATAAAGAGGCTCGTGTGGGTATGGGCCACACTTGATGCTTACAGGTGGGTGTCGTGTCAAACCCTCAGGATGGTCCAGGGTGCTGTCTCCGAGTGAGCCCACAGTGGAGACTTGCAGCTTTAGAGACTTTCTCTTCTTTAGCTGTCTACACACCAGTTCAGCCTAAGCCCGTTGCATTTAAATCTTTACAGGGAAATGATTAATGGACGACTAAGATACATTGAAGATGATTATTAGATGAGTCGCTTTCTCTCTGGTTTGTAACAGAAGAATCTACCCAGAACATGAATTGATATGCGGGACTTGTCAGTGCAGAACAGTAACATGATCTTTCTGTTTATCACTAGCGCAGTTGGGAGAAGTGGTTCTTTAGAGCGGTGGTGGATGTCAGGCTTGCCTAACACAGTTACATTTTGAAAATCTTCCCATTCTGATTGACAGAAGAAGAACTGGCAACTGCTCCGCTAGATGGCATCATTCTTCCAGGAGTGACGAGGCAGAGCATCCTGGACCTGGCCCGCGAGTGGGTGGGTGCCTTTGACATGCACGACTCTCCTGAGCCTGAAGCAGAAGGGGATCAGAAGAAGCCTAGAGTCCTGGGGAAATAATGTCCTGTGGTGGTGACCGGTGTTATCTAATTTAACTCCATGTAAAAGGACTCTCTAGAGCAGTGATGGGAAACTTTTTTAGAGCCCGAAAGCCCAAATTGCAGCCCCAAATCCACTTATTATATTTTTTAACCAAGTGCCAACACTGAAATTAAACCTGAGGTTTCAGTTGAGAAGAAACAACTGTTATCCAGTGCTCAGCTGCTGGGGCATCTTGGCTCGCCTGGCCGCAGAGAGGGCTCTGCATGCCACTGCGGCACGTTCTCCACACAGCTCTGGAGGGTCCTCTTAGTGACTGTCAGAAAAGTGCTGCAGCGGCGATGGCGTCGAGACACCAGCTTCACAAGATGTGCTAGTGGGTGTTCTCGTGTTCCTCTCCCCAGACAGCCCTCAGCTTTACACTCATCAATATACTGCACAGCTCGCTGGAATGACGGAATCCTCCTGACACTCACCTATGTATTTCCTGCCATAACAACATCGGCTTGGCTGCCTTTCTCCCACCACCACCCTCTGTCATCCACAGTCCATATACATGGCTATTTCAAGGTCAAGACACTTGAGCAGTTGTACAGTGCTTTTCAGTAGACTTTCGAATCCATGAGACACAGGCAAGACTGTTAAACTGTTTGTTATTTGAAATGACATATTCAAGATGAATATTAAATGAGTGGGTTGTCTGGCAGTGGTTCTGCGACGGAACTTTTGACCCATGTGTTAAAAGTGGTCTCCGAAGACCCTGGAAAGGCTCTGAGCATACTGTGGTCAGTCAGTATGAATAGGACAAATGTTTAGCAACACACACATTATCTAGGGGAGCACTGGCACTTTCTCTGGAAAAAGACTTTGAAAATAGAGGAAATTTGCTATAAATAATTCTACAAAACCCTGAAGTAGACAAAACCCAACTGCCACATGCTGGCTGGCACATTGGGCATGACATTTACAAACTGTTGGTATAATTTCAAACAGCTTGCCCTGTCCTAAATATGTTTGCAGTTGGAAAGATATATTTTTGAAGCTCAGTAATTTCTGTTTTATTAAAGAAAAAAATCAACTAAGTGCAGAAGGTTTGATGACAAGTTGCAAGTGGAAATGCTTTCCCACACTAATGATTTGCTAGCATGAAAAATAGGTTATTATAGAGGAAGTTTTTCTTGACTCCTTAGCTGTAATTTATTTTAAAAGCTATTTTAAGACAGTGAGACATAAAATGCCAAGAGGCATGTGGGGGGTTACCACTACTTGTCAGACAGGGGAAATTGTCCAAAGATAAGTAAGGGTGAACAGAATAAAAACAATTCTGCTCATTTACAACAGAGGTTTTTTCTTTTCCAGAACACAGAACTCAGCTTATTTTCAGTAAAATTGGCTGGGCTTCTGGAACTTACTTATTTACCTCCGAACACATAGTTGCAATTACAGAATGAAAGAAATTGAAACTTCGGAAGAACCATATTTGTAATTGCAGACGTATTTTCCTGTCCTTCCAAATCTACAGCATGGTACATTGTTCTAATATTTTGAATCTGGCCAAGGGCTTTGATTTCCATTTTTATATATTGTGGGTTTGTAGATCATAAAAACCACTTCCATCTTATTTTTCTTTCAACACATCCATTCTTTATTGTCCTTAATCAAATAGCCTGTTGACAAAACATTGAACTTTAATCCCTAAGGTAAAAAATGAGACTTAAAGATTGAATAAGTATTAAACAGATTAAAGGCACCTGATTTTTTTTCCTATTTTCTATCCTTGTGCAAATAAAATATTCACACAGATTATACCACCTATTACATATATATCACATATTTTATACCGCTTATTCCCTGATGAAATTCAACTTAATCTGATTCTAAAAGAGAGAGAAGAGGATTGTCATTATAAAGTCACCTTGTCACTTAATCTGGAAAGAAAAAATTACATCTGCAATTTTTAAAGTAAAGTCCAAATATACATTCAATTTTTAAAATAATGAATATTTCAGATATTTGAACTCAGTCTGTTTTTCAGCCCCTAAAAGGCATACTAGAAAGAGGACCACAGCCTGGAATTTAGCTCAGTGGTGCTGCCACCTACCTTGCAAGCTCAAGGTCCTGAGTTTGATCTGGGTACCAAAAAGAACACATTTTGAAACAAATCAGATCAGACCTAGGTTCAAACCCAGTTTTTGCCATTTATTAGCTGTGTGGCCTTGGCAGTGCCCCTTAGTTTCCTCATCAGTAAAAAGAGAGTTTGTACTTTCCTGCAGGATTGAAGATACTGGTATGTGGTGGGTACCTGGTAAATGGTAGCTGTGACTCTAATATGTGCTGTAATACGCTATTTTTCTTTATGATAAAATATGTGGAGCATGCCTTAATTAAGTAGCACGCGGAATGAGTCAACTTATGAGACTGTCCATGGCAGCACTAAAATCCAATAAGCAAGCGTACATGAAGATACACTATGTATCTCGTGGTGATAATCATATATTTTATATTCCGTGATTTCATTTACACATGCTGTGACCTTGGCTGCTTAGTAGGATGCTTAATGCCTCAGTACATTTATAAATAGGATGGTTTGCCCTTTTTGGCTCTCCCTCAAAGGATTATGACATTATCTGGGTTCAGTTAGAAAGTAAAAAGATAAGTGTTGCTTTTTTTTTTTTTTTTTAATATTCCTAACAGGATGAATTTAAGGTGTCGGAGAGGTACCTCACCATGGGTGACCTGACCAGTGCCCTGGAGGGGAACAGAGTGAGGGAGATGTTCGGCTCTGGGACAGCCTGCATTGTCTGCCCAATTTCTGACATACTGTACAAGGACCAGGTGAGACAAATAGTTCATTTCCTGCCACTTCCAAACATTTAACTTTCATTGAATTAATTTTTATAATGTGTGGATGAAATTCTCCTTGGACCCAGGATGCACAGATTTGTCTTACAGCGTGGCATTACATCTATTTGGACAGTTTGTCCGGACGAGCCTATATTGGTGTACAACTCCGATCTTTACAGGGATTTCAAGTAAGATCAAACCCGAAAGGAGCTCAAGGTTATGTTTCGTGTCATGTTTGCTTTACCTCAGTTTAGGGATTGGAGCTGTGTCAGTGGTTAGATTTCAGTTTTGGTGATTTCCAAAAGTACTTCCAAAGTACACGATTAGGAATGGCAAATTATTTTGGAAAGTGCATTTGAATGGTCAGCTCTTTCATTTATTATTATTATTCGTTATTATTATTAAGTAGACCACTGTAAAAATATTTTTCATTGGGCAAAACTGATATTTTCTAAAACATTGCAAAAGAAATTCAGCGTTTTCGTTGGAAAACATGTTCCTCTCTTAGTTACTCTGATTTTAAATGTGCTGTATTTCAGTTAAATGTCAATTTTTGGCTTTCCCTGTAACAGCCAATTTCTGGTACTTAGAATTAACATCAGCATCTACCTTTATTGCTTAAAGTCTTGTGGGAAGATGAATTAGCTAAAATGAGTCACATGAAATATAAAGTCCACTAGTTTTTAAGCTCTGTGTTACAGTTTTCCTTCAGCTGATCAGATTAATTATTCTACTGGTTCATTGCTTCAGGTTTTAAAATTTGTTTTAAGGGATGGCTCCTGACATAATCCCATCTACCAACTGATTGTTTCACAGGTCTACTCTGTTTTAATGCTAGTATCTTATTATGATAGTATCTCCGTTGTTATCTGCCTCCTTTATTATCTAAAGTTGTCATTACGTCAGATATTTTAAACATTCCATTATTGTTTCACCTCTAGAAATAAGTTCTTAAAGATTAACATACAGCATTTTAATGGTTCTGTTTTAGACATTTAGAGCCAAAATGTACATCTCATTATCCTATTATATTAAATGGCATAATAAGTGTTTGAGAGCACAGACTACACTAAAATCAAATTATCTAAAGACCGCAAGCCAGCAAGCATGAATGGACATGACACAGATAGGATTTGGGGCATGGAGTCTCTTTCAGCCATGAGTTTATTTAGCTGTCCAGAGTCTCAGATTTGGGGGAAGAAAATTTCATTTTGTCATTATTTTAGAGTCCCCTTTCTCCTTGATTCTTCAGATCAGCCTGATGACTGAAATGTAAACCATTTTTGTCCTACATAGGTAGTGAACAACCTGTCATTGGCTGGGATTCATTCCAGTTCAGAGCAGAAAAGAATCTTTGGAGTAAGCCAGTAGTGTGCATAGTAAATAGGTTATAGTGCTGTTTCTCATTTAAGTGGAACTGCCTTAATGGATTAAATTGGCACATGTGTTCTCTCATCACTACATGGTGAATATTCCCAAATTATCTCATTTTCTTTTATAGATGATGCATATTCCAACAATGGAGAGTGGGTCTAAGCTTGCAAAGCGTATCTTGGACAAATTGAGTGATATCCAGGTAAAGACTTTTTTCTTTTTAAACACTACCTAGGGCCTGGGGTTATAGCTCAGAAGGAGAATATGTGCATCGTATGCAGAGGACCCTTGTTTTGTCCTAACACCAAACAAAAAAAAAAAGAAAAAAGACAAGAAAATACCACCTTATTCCATTGGGGGCTTAGAACCATATTGTATTTCCATGGAGAGAAGAGAGTACATTTTATGTCTGAGATTAGTAACTTTAAGGGTGCTACTCCTGATACTGTGCATGGTCCTGAACAAAGCCAAAATGAAAAAGAAGGTACATGTTTTACATAGCAAAGAGAAAAAAATCTTTCCAGGGAGTCCAGATTATAACATTTGGAAATCTCATTAAAAAATGCAACATTTTTGCTGTAAAAACCTTGAAAGTAGAGGGAAACCCAGGCAGAAAATAATTACCTGTGATTCTAACCCTGAGATATTAACTACTGTTAATTTGAAATGTCTACACTTTCAATATTTCATAACATTAATACTTCCAGCTGGCTATTTTCCCCAGAAAAGTGGATTCATATCATACATAATTTTGTTCCCTGCTTCTTTTACATATTAAATAAACCCTTAACTTTTTTTTCATCTCAATAACCAATTTTCTCCATATCACTTATAAAATTCAATTGAATTCCATCATGTTGATGTACCATAAATGTTTAAAGCAAGAATTTGTGAGTGATTTTTTTTTTGTGGGGGGTACCGGGGATCAAACTGGAGACCTTGCACTTGCAAGGCAGGTGGCGGAAACACTGAGCTAAATCCCTGACCCTGTGAGTGATTTTTTTTTTCACTGTTAGGAACAGGCCATACTGGATCATTTCCATGGATAAATCCCTACAATGAATCAAAGGATGTTTAGGGTTTTTTTTTTTTTATACTGTTAACTTTGTTTTTCCTATTTTTTTCTGCACATCCACCTGCAGTAATGTCTCATCAGGTGGTTAAGCACATACCAGATCATTCCAGGCCATCCACAGAAAAGACTGCAAGTATTTTACAAGTTTCTGGAGGATTTTGTTGGGCCCAGATAACTTCATTGCCCACTGTAGAACATATCGAAGGTCTGGCTGAGACTCATTTTCAAAAGACAAATATAGTGATGTCAGTCGGTATTGAGTCATAAAACTAAGCAAAAATTACACTTGTATGCGAATGCATCTGGTCTCTAGAAAGTAATTGAGGTTCTTGGATTGTTACAGAACCAGTATTCTTTTGGTTTTTTTATTTTTATTTTTATTTTTTTTTGAGACAGGGTCTCACTGTGTCGTTGAGACTGACCTGGAACTCACAATGTAGCCCAGGCTGGTTTTGAACTCTCAGTGATCCTCCTGACTCAGCCTCCAGAGTACTGGGATTATAGGCGTGCACCACCACGCCTGGCTTGGAGAACCAGTATTCTTTTAAGTCCTACATAGAAACTTTTATGGAAAAGTTTTAGTACTGTTGGTAAAAGAAAAGAATGGTTATGGTCTTTGTTTTGTTTTTTTGTGGTACTGGAGATGGAACCCAGAACTTTCTGAGCTACAACCTTATCTTCTTTTTTTTTTTTTTTTTGGTATGGGGCATCAAACCCGGGACCTTGTGCTTGCGAGGCAGGTGGCAGAACCACTGAGCTAAATCCCCGGCCCCAGCCCTATCTCTTTAAAATTGTTTTACTTTGTGACAGCATCTTGCTAAATTGCCTGAGCTGGGCTCAAACTTCAGTCCTCCTGTCTCAGCCTCCCATGGTGCTGGGACTCAGTATGTGCCCCTATGCCTGGGTGCTTACGGTTTTTGAATCAGTGAGCAACCTTATTTCTCTTCAGTACAGGTTTTCTTCTGTAAGATTTTCTGTAAGCTAAAAGGAGTACCTTCATATCAGAAAAAAAGCAAAATGGCACTCAGAGCTATTTTCTACTTCTGTATATAGAAACATAAGTAATTTGAAAGATAGCAAACAAAATTCCTGCCTGGATATTCAGACATCTTTATTTTTGTCAGGGTTCCTGAGTAAATCTGATGAAAATAATTATTATGATTTTGCTCAGATTAAAAAAAAATAGAATTCAAAGAGATATAATTGACTAGGCTGTGTGAAAGCCTTTTCTCAAGATTTTAGAGGGTTTTTTTTTTAAGGGGGAAGATGGGTGGTCATAAGTCAGAAGAAAGATTGCTTTAGAAATTTTTCTTGAATAAGTTGTACATTTTAATCAAGGTGTGGTGGAACACACCTATAATCCCAGCATGCGTACCATGAAACCCTGACTCCAAAAAATAAAGAAAAATAATTTTTTTAACTTAAAAAAAATTGTATATATTGTAGCATTACTACACAAAATGGGATTCAGGGGTACCTCTTATAGATTGTATGAAGTAAGAAAATTCAAACTTAGTTGATTGGATTGTGAAGCCTTGACAGAAAATTAGTCACCAAGTAAAAGAAAAGTGAAACTATTGAATTTGCAGTTAGAAGACCTCAGCAGAGGTGTTCAGCGGATATAAGGACATAATCATGAGTCTTTGTGTAAGAAAGGAATTGCTAGGAATCAGAAGCAGAAATAGGACTCATCAACATTAAGCTGGTCACAAACATGCATTAGGATCCAAAAGCAGGAATAAAAGCGAAGCCAGAACGCAGTCTCACAGCAAGTTGGAAAGCTGTTACCAAAGTTCTCAGAAAGCACATGTTGTTTAAAGTACCATGATGGGAGCAGAAGAATGTGACTAAAGACAAATGTTCTTGAATGACTCATTCAGCGAATGGATGTGGGGAGCACAAACATTGTACCTGAGGCTGCTCTAGGCCATCACTGTGAAAAAGACAAACAAAAGCCAAAGCACCCTGATACAGAGGAAGGTTGACAAAGACACTCAATACAGATGTCAGCCCGTGTGAAAAAGTTTAAACGTAAAACATAGATGAAGGAAGATGTGAGGGAAAAAAATTGAACTTTTCCCTCTAACTTTACTGCTGTGGCTCAGAAATGAATGATTCGTTTTGATTCTAGGTAGTGAAGTATAGTGGTAGTAACACTAAAGTCTAATGATGCATCTAGATCCCGTACTGGATAAAGGTGTAAAGGGTTATCATCTCAGGACACAGATAATGCAGTGGTTCTGAATTAACCACAAACCATAAGTATCACATCTGCTCCAAACTGTTCATTAACAAAAGACCATCCATTCATAATCTAAAACCACTTTCATCTTCAGATATTTTGTGGCTGGGTGTGTGGGACCTAAAGTCTCAAAATTATCCTCTTATAAGATGGTGATTCGGTGCTGTCAGCCAAGTACAAGGTTGTCCAATTCCAAGAAAAATAATTTCAGTAATTACTGAGGAAAAAGCGTAGCATTGCATCACGTTTTACATTTGATCTCTTTTGGCATTACATGGAAACATGAGTGTTTCCTACAAAGTACTCTGGTAAATTGAAGAAGAAAGGAACAACAATCCTTAAAAAAAAAAAAATTCAAGTTTCTTGCCAGTATAGCCCAGAGGAAAAATTCTTCTTAACCACAAATTTGCCTTTCGTTTTAACTTCTGTATTTGAGTGAGATTCTCTGAGGTTAAGTATTCATCCCATTTAGCTAATTATCCATATAGCTCCCTGGGTCTTAGATTACTCTTCAAATAATTCCTAGGAGGGGAACATTTCCAATGAACATTTTTTTTTCTTTGTTTAAGTAACAAAGAAAAACGTCTTTTTTTTGTATTTAACCAAAGTGAAACTTGGAGACTATTAGGCTTGTTGTCTGTGTTATTTTTCTCTCTCACTTCTGTTTGCTGTCCTAGTTACTCATGCTCTTATTCACCCTTACTCCTGCTGTTTGCAGTTCTCCCAGTGTGTCCTGCTATCTGATGCCACTTGCCTTGGCTGTACCTTCTGGTTCCATCACCTGATAATAAGTCTTGGTTATCCTCCAACACTTATATTCTTCCACGACTCTCTGGAACACTAGTGCTTTCCAGTGTCCAGATACACTAGCCCACTTACATGCTTTTACCTTCCTCCACTTTTCAAAGAGCTGGGGATTATAATCTTAAAACAATGATGGCAAACTTTTAGAGCTTTCATTAATACAGACAGGGCCGGAGATCTGCCTCAGTGGTTCCACCACCTTGCAAGAGCAAGGACCAAAGTTCAATCCCCAGCACCAAAAAAAAAAAAAAAAAAAAAAAAAAAATCAATAATACAGCCAGCATGCTACAGCACAGGTATCATAGGTTTGCCACCGCTGTCTTAGATCCTTAAAGTGTGTTATAATTAGTCACACTCTTGTCTCTTTTCTAGGGCTGTTGAAATGTTGGAATTGTTTATCTCCTCTTTATCTCCCTGGGGTTCATTACAAGGTTGAGGGCAGAGTACACAGGTATTAATGTTTCTTAAGAGAAAATAAAGGAATGGATAGCCAAGATGCCAAGAAAATACAGAAACAACAAAAAACATTGCTTTGGTATATAACACATTCTAAGACAAGACAGGAGGAATATCTTGAATAATGTTGTATTAGTCAGTTTCATGTTAGTAAAATGAAATGCCGGAGGCAGCTAACTTTATAAAGAGAAAAGGTTTATTTCAGCTCACAGTTCTAGAGGTTCACTGTCCAAGGTCAGTAGGCCTGGTTGGTTCAGCCCCTCAGAGGCAGATGCCATGATGAGATGCATGTCAGCAAGTGGTTACATCTCAAGCCAGGAAGCAGAGACAGAATAGGCCAGGTAGTCATTAAGACTCCTCCGAGGATTAAAGGAAGTAACAAGTCTATTGAGTTCCCAGGGCAGTGGAGCTGGTGTGCATAATTGCTCCAAGGGTGAGAGTGTTTTTAAACACCATTGTTTGTTGCATGACTTGACTACAGAACTAGCTTTCAGTTGCCTGTGTAGAATATTTTGTTTCATTAATAGTTTCAAGGATTAAAATTCAGTTTTCTTTTCAAAGCAAATCATATGCTACTGAATGACCAAATTGAGATTAAGATAACAGAATTTTTGAAGGAGTAAGAAAAATTGGGATGCCAACAGCACCAAAAACTGACTTAGAGGCCATAAGTCCTGTTAAGATGCCCAGGGACAGCAGGGCATTGTGCACACACCTATATCTACAGCACCCTTGGAGGTTGAGGCAGAAGGATTGCACCTTGGGTAATTTAATGACTTACTGAGACCCATCTCAAAATTTAAAAAGGGATGCGGATATAGCTCAGTGTGACCCTGGGGTCAATCCCTAGTACCACGGGGGGAAAAAGGAACCTAGAAGAATGGTCAGTTTAATATTTTGGGGCACAAAGATAAAATGCCCCATGCCCTTGAGCATGTGTTAGAATTACCTGGAAGTGCTTGTGGACTTGGAGATTACTAGGACCCATCCCAAAAGTTTCTGATCGCATAAATCTGAGAGGGAGCCTGGGAATTTCCATTTCTCTCATGTTGCCAGGAGTTGCTGATTCAGGTTGTGTGGGGAATGCACTCTGAGCAGCACTTCTCTGCAGAAAACAGACCCACGGGTAAACAGTTTAACTCACTGTGAAAGCAGAAGCAAAATACAGAATAGTGATTCGAAAGTTATTTACTTAAATATTGCATGAAGGGACAACTCCACCTGTGAGTTTGGTCTTTTCTGTTGTTGCTTTTGCTTAGTTCGGTTTGGTTTTAGGTTTTTTTGAGACAGGGTCTCATTACAGTATGTGGTCCGTCCTGGTTGCCCTTGAGCTCTAGATCTTTCTACCTCAGCCTCCCAGGTGCTGGAATTACAGGCATGCACCGCCATGCTCAGCCAGCTATGAATTTGGGTCTTCCGAGGTACTTGGCTGTTTCTAGATCTCCCTAAGGATTTGTGTCATCATTTTGTAAGGTGTCTCTGCCTCCTGCTCACCTTTCTCTGCTCTTTCTCCCTGATCTTATTTTGAGTATGAATTTTTATGCTTTCAGTGTTCAAAACACAAAGTGAGCCTTTGGTGTATTTTGGGCTGCATGAAAGCTATTCCTTCCCTGTAAGCTTTTTATACTAAAATATATTTTCTTGCTTTTGTTACAGTACGGAAAAGAAAAGAGCGACTGGACAATCGTAGTTTCCTGAATGAGAGCCGCAGATGAGCCGTATACTACTGGAAGAGGCTCTTGCACTCGGATCGTGATTTAAGCAACCTTTCAGTAGTTGATCTGATGTAATTTGTCTTATTTGTGTTTCCAGGGTGATTTCGTTTTTTTCTCTTGTGCAAGAGAAATCATTAGATGTTGTAGTCATTAGATGTTGCTTTGTAAACTTGGGAATCGTTGCTTGCTTTACCTTTTATCAGAAAGATAATAACATAAGCCATATAATGTAGACTTTTCCTCAGTAATTTGAGTGCCTCCCTTCACACTTCACTCAGATCCAAAATGTTGATTCTTCAGTAGAATGCGTGCCTCCTCAACCAAATGATCCTTGCGTGTGTGTCTGGAGGCTGAGCTGTCTAAATTCAATAAGTAATGTTCTTTGCGACACATCGATATTTTTAGAAACACTCAGAAAGTGCTTTGTTTTCTTTCTTAAATCAAGATCTTGAAATGCTTGGTATGTGTCACATGTTTTCGTAGGCCCTTAATCCATCTGAAGATAAGTATCTCCTCCCTTCTCTCTGACCTCACAGTCTGCTCTGAGAGCACTTTGTGTATCCGTAAAGCCTGAACATGTCCACCATTGCCCTCTCCACGAGGTATTGCACCTGGCTGTTCATCAGGCTGCTCTAAGACTGAAGGTCTTACGCCTTATAGATCTTTGTTTGCCCGATGCCTGGCACATTGTGAGTTCTCACTGAGTGGACATTTAGCTTCTATAGAAGTGCACCTTCTGTGTTCCTGTATTGTGAAACCTCTTTATTGCAGTCGTGACGGACTCTGACAGTGCGTGATACTTACCTCATAATGTCTTCATTTTCCATGGACTCCGAAGGCATTAGAGGTACTCGGAGCCGTAGCAAGTGAAGACTCTCGGAATTGAAGCAGGAGCCCTGGAGAGAACTCATGATATCTGAACCAACCAAATGGAAATGACACGTGTCAAATGTGAAGTGTCAAATGCAAAATAAATCATTCGGAGGGACGAGTAGGAAGCAGAGATATTCTGGTTTTACACTTTGTTTTTGTAGGTGCTCTTTTCTCTTGAATGAAGATTGATTGAACATGTGGTTATGGTGGAGGGGGAGCAATTACAGAGGGTGTTTTCCTTGTTTGGGAGCTATGAGTTAAAGATGCATCCTTTCCTAGTTTATCTAGGGGACAGGGAAATCTGGACGGAAAACATTGACCCTTGGAAGGTCAACTCACAGACGTTGTATTTTGGTTTCCCTCAGTCCTAACAACTTTCATCTTGCTGATCATATTTCATTCTCTTTTTCTGAGCAGGGAAGAAAACATTCTAAAAGTTTGATGCACTAGAAAATTTTCCTTCAGGCATTTAACAACACATAGCAAATGGGCTTTGATTCTTCTCCAGAACTTTTTGCTGTAGCTTTTTTTTTTTAAAGACAGGAAAGGTAAAGTGAAAATTGAAGAAGGCTAAGATGAAAAGGAATAGTAAAAATATTTTAGGAGGCCTTTAATTGGTGATCTCAACTCTTAGGCAAGTCTTCTCTTTTAGGCCCAAGATGCACTTAGAACATGGAGTGTTCTGATGCGATCCTTTCGCCTTCCCTAAATCTTTTAATCTCATTCTTAATGTAACAGTCTCAACAGGACTTCCAGGTAATTTTAACTATCAAGTAGTACATAAAAACGAGGCAGATTCCTATTAGAAAGGGAAATTACTTGTATGCCACGAGTACATTTCATACTTTGTGTTTCTAAATTTAGTGTGCCCATTGTGAAAGTTGGAGAACATTATGTTTATGCAATTTCTTTCATAAAAATATGAGATATGAGAGCACGGTGAACTCTTTCAACCAGACTCAGCAGAGACTAAGGATATACATCTTAAAAGCTGGACATCTCTTAACACAGGGAACATATCTATCTGCCATTCTCTTTTAAGTAATAACACAGGAAATTGACCTTGGTATTGACTTGTTAAAATGATTTTAAAGAAAATTTGCTCTTTTTTCCTTGTGCACCGTTTGTTTAATTGCAGTGAAGTAATACAGTCACATTATATTACTGGGCAATTACCCATTCTTCAAGGCTTAGTTATCACAACACTAATCAATCATTTAAGGCATAAGATAGTCTTAACATTAGGAACATGTGAGGCTATTCTGCCCAAAAAGATCAAATTAATACTGTTGCTGATATTTGCATAATTGGCTATAATTATTTAATGTGTAATTGTGTTCATCAAATAAGATTCAGCAGTTCACATATGAATGAATATAAACAAATGGTGGCCCTCAAAATGATTACAATTAACTTATTTTGCATGTTCTCTTCCAGTTTTTACATTTTAGACTGAGTTTGTCAGCTTTTCTCAAACATGTGAGTAAAAACCAAGATTTTTAAAATGAAGTGTTCAGCTATAGACAATCTGATCATTTCCTAAAAAGATTTCCAGATATTTGTTGTTGTTGTTGTTGTTGTTGTTGTTGCGGCAGCCATTTGTCAAGGATTCAACTCTAGACGCAGTACAAGGAGGATCAAGTTCTGGGGTGGATGTGCACCATGCTTTCTAGTACAGTGAGGCTGGTGGGAATGAATAATTACCTAGGTGGGCTTTGCTTTCAAAAGGAAAAGGAAAAGGAACATAGAAAAATAAATGACTGAGAAACCTTGTCAGGGAATCACATTTTTACACTTTTCTCAAAAGATCGCTCTAAGAAATAAACTATATGGTGACATGCAACATCAGCCCCCTGAAGACATGAGCGGTCTGTGTTACACTAGGTTAAAGTTCTTCGCCTTATAATTGTACCTAAATATGTGGTCTTACTTGCCTCAAATCTCTGCATTCTTGGGCATTTGAAGGCCATTGATAAGTATATCCTAGTTCATATGATTATACAGACTTTCTACTAAACCCACAGTTTCAAATCTGCTTTAGGGGAATTCTGCTACGAAAACAATTGCTAAAACAAGCGTATTTCTTTATCTGCCCCATTCATGCTCTGGTGTTCTGCTTCTTTTCAAAGGTGTATGTTTGGTTTACTCTTTTAAAATTGGGAAAAATGTCTTTGATGACATTTATTCACTTTCATTTGTTCACATGATATTTTCTGAAATATTTAGAGTAATAAATATTTCATCAGCTGCACCAAGACGAAGAGCTTAGTGAGGGGTCAGAACTCTTTCATGTCCTGGTTTCTAAATACATTTAGAGAACCCTTACTTATAATGTGGATTTCCTTTTCTCTGCATATGCAAAAAGTTGTGAAAAATAGTAATGCTGACAAGTAATTTTAGTAGATGTTTAATGGCAGTGTCTTTGTTTTGCTACAAGTAGAATTAATTTAGGTATAAGGCAAAGGGGTAACATGTATTCTGGAAAAAGATCAGGGAGATTATAATTCATTTGCCAAATGTTGATTGAGCACCCACAAAAGTGTATCCTACACAACCAGCAATAAGATAGAAAGTTTCAGAAAATATGTAAACATTACCTCATGAAGTTTATAATCTATTACTTGAACTAATTTTAGATAGTGGTATTTGTGAAAGATTCAGTGAAGATAATAAAGAGAGGAAGGCCAGAGCACATCTCTTATATCAAGAAATCACAGTGAAGATTTTATCTCATTAAGGACAATTTTCCTGTTTGTATTTCTACTGTAAAACTACTCAGTAAGGTTAGTACTTAAGGTTATTAATCCACTGTTGTGTGGCATGAATTACCTCCTGGTTTGTGACTTTGCTGTCAACGTAGAATGTTTGTTGTCTGCATTCTTTTGGAGTAATGTTCTGGAACATCTTGCAGAATACTGCAGATTTCTGTGTGCTTGCTGCCCAGATAATACTGACAGTGATCCTAGAATGAATTTTTCTAGAAAATGTTGATTATGAATCAAGCTGTTTAAAGTATTAACTGCAAGGTACTTAGAAAAAAATTTTCATGTAACCATGACTTTTCAGTTTGAAGTTTTTAATTAGAAAGGCCTTTTAAATATTGGAAAGAGATTGATTTCCGTCATTTCCACAAAACCCCCTTCAAATGCAAAGATAGAAGATGGTAATTCTTTTCTTTTTTTTCATTTTTTCTTTTTGGTACATTTTAGGTATACAGTTACATTCATCTTTGGGATCTTTTACCTTTACATGACTTATCTTGGTTACTTTTTCTCCATTCCCCTGCCCTCTCTTCACCCCCTCCACCCTTCCCTATTTACAGTGACTTTGCTTCCATTTTTTGCCTTTTCTCTTATTTTTTCTTTTCCCTTCTTAGCTTTCCCTTACCCCTCCCACTTCCCCTACATCTTTAGACATTTTTTTCTGTTACACAATATCAGTTATACATTTTGATTCTTATTTACACTTTTAGTTCATCACACCAGAGAAATTAGTTGGTATTTACACATGTGTCCTATTAATCTCACTGAAGAGTATGGCCTCAATGTGCATCCATTTAGCTATAAATGTCTGTAGTTTCTCAATCTATGGCTGAGTTTTTTTTTTATATAAAAAGAACCACATTTTTTTTTTTTTTTTTTTTTTTTTTTGGTGCCAGGGATTGAACTCGGGTCCTTGTGCTTGCAAGGCAGGCCACCGAACGGCTGAGCTAAATCCCTGGCCCTGAACCACATCTTCTTTATCCAGTCTCCAGTTGATGAGCAAGTTTCCAAGTTTTAGCTGTTACAAACTATGCCACTATAAACATGGGTGAGCATATCACTATGTGTGATTCTTTTAATTCTGAATTTTTTGAGTTCTTTATATATTCTGGAAAGTAGCCCTTTGAAGAGCAGCTGCTAAAATTTTTTCCCACATTGTAGGTTGTCTTTTAGCTCTGTTGGTATTTTCTCTTGGTGTACAAAAGCTTTTTAAAAAGGGGAGATCCCAGTTGATTCTTTGTGCTGGTTCCCATGTTACTGAGGATTTGTTCATAAAGTCTTTTCCTATGCCAGTGCCTTCAAGAGTTCTACCTATCTTTCAGCAGTTCAGTGTTTCTGTTTTAATATTAGATCTTTAATCCACTTAGATTTTAGTTTAGTGCATGGTGAGAGATATAGGGGTCTAGTTTTAATCTTTGGCAAGTTGAGATCCAGTTTTTCCAGCACCATTTATTAAAGAGGCTGTCTTTCCTGCAGTGAAGATGGTTGGCTCATTTGTCAAAGATGAGGTAGCTGAGTATTTCTGGATTTGTTTCTGCATCCTCCAATCTATTCCACTGATCCTTGGGTCTGTTTCTTTGCCAGTACCATGCTGTTTTTATCACAGGGGTTTTGTAGTATAGTTTCATGTTGGGGATTGTGATACCCCTGCCATGTCTCTGTTGCCTAGAATGGCTTTTGCTATTCTAGGTCTCTTTTGGTTCCAAATGAATTTTTGGATTGTTTTCTCTGGTTCAGTGACGTATTCTGTTGGCCTGTAGTTGTCTTTCTTGGTTGGGTCTTTGCCTGGTTTTGGAGTCAAAGTAACACTTGCATCTAGGAATGAATTTGGAAGTATTGCTTCTCTTTCAATTTCACTGAAAAGTTTCAAAAGTAGTGGCAGTAGTTCTTCTCTAAATGTTTTGTAGAATTCAGCAGTAAAGCTATCAGGACCTGAGTTTTTAATTATGCTTTCAATTTCACTGATTGTAATTGGGGTGTTTAAAATTTTTATATCTTTGTTCAACTTTGGTAATTCTTATGTATCTAGAAATTGGTCCATTTCTACTATATTTTTCGTTTTATTAGAGTACAGGTTCTCAAACTAGGTATTGATGATCCTCTGGATTTCTGCTGGATCTGTTGTGACTTCACCTTTTTCATTCCTAATTGCATGTTTGAGCCTTTTCTTTCCTTTTTTTTTTTTTTTTTATAAGGTTGGCTAAGGGTTTATCAAGTTTTTATTCTTTAAATAAACTAACTCTTCAATTCATTGATTTTTTTTTTTGTATTGTTCTCTTAGTCTCCATTGCATTGATTTCTGCTCTGATCTTTATAATTTCTTGTATGAGCTTTGGGTTTGTCTTGCTCTTCTTTTTCTAGAAGCTTAAGATTCAGCATTAGGTTGTTCATTTGAGCTCACTCTGTACTTCTAGTGTGGGCATTCACTGCTATAAATTTCCCTCATAGGACTGCTTTCATTGTGTCCCATAGAATCCTATATTTGTACTGGCGTTATCATTAAACACCGAATTATTTTTCATCATTAGCATACAGAACATAATAAAAGACTTCTCATATTTCATTTGGGGAAGTTGATCATGAAACATCTCAATAGGGTAGTGTCTGTGGGTGCGTAATTTGCAGGGATCAAAGAGATGTAAACATTTTTTTTTCTTTGGTACTGGGGATCAAACTCAGGATCTTGTACTTGCAAGACAAGCGTGGTGCCACTGAGCTCAATCCTCAGCCCCCAGTGTAAACATATTTTCGGATAAATGCATGGAATTTCAGGCTTGGCAATTAAAATGCTATTTAAAACATAGATTCCAGAAATTTGGAAGTCTCGAGTTTGTCAGGAGGTACATTTTTCACACCATGATAAACCCAACTAGGAAGACTTAAAATCTAAGTTGCCTAATGTAATCCACTATTGGTACGACAAGAATTAATGTAGGCTGTAGTGATGAACTACAGTTTCATTGACAGCTTTTTATGCCTATCCAGTATCAGTGGTTAGGTTCCTTGTTGCCCATTATTGAATTATTGAAAAACATGAATGAGCAAAGTTTTCAGAGAAAGAATGATGGGGCCGTCAAATAGACTTCTGTGTTGTCCAGAAGTGCTTTTTCCATATTTTGCCAGGCACTGAGATCTTCAGCCTTTAATACGTGTCAACTGCAGATAAGTAGCTGACACTAGCGGCCAGTCCATTGGATATTAGAACTTGGCCATGGCCTTGGGCCTATTATCTGACCATTGTGTTTGGTAGATACCATTTTAGATTGCTGTCAGTTTGGATGAGACTTTATAATTGCAGTGTCTATAAGATCTATTGTATCATTTCTTCAACCATTTTATTCTAAGATTCACGAAACCTCTTGAAGCCAAATAAGTGACAAGACGTAGGTTATGGCTATTTTTGCTTAGAAAAACTACTTACCACACACACCCTTTGCTTGATGAAAGTCAGCAGATTTAGAAACTGATTGAATATTATTTAGCTTTTACCTGAAATGTGCAACATGTCATTTTTCCCAGACTGGGTTCTCATGGTCATTGAAATCGTTCTCGATTAAAAATGCAAATATTCTCAATTTCTGCATCATCCATGAGTATTTCAAGAGTGCAGGAATACTTTCAAGAGTTCATTTTGAATCACAATCTTAATAAGCTAGCTAGCCTGTCAGCATTTGTAAATTCTGCTGGGGACTGCAACAATGAATGACCCACAGTACACCAAGAGAGCCTAATACACAGAGCGGGAGCCGACCCATGTTTTCAAAGAATTTCTGTCTATTTGATAGGGTGTCTGAAAGCATGTAAGTAGTTTGAGAATGTTTTCAATTTGGAGCGTATAGACAGGAACAGAAGATCAGTCTAACTGAGGAATTTGTAGAATCTCTGATTGCCATATTCCTCTAGTTGTGTAGTTATTCTTGAAATTCTCTTTAAGAAAAAGTAGGTATCGATCCCCAGGACCACAAAAAGTGCGGGGAGAAGGAAATAAAAACACTTTGTCAAGGAGGGTTGGATTTCATGAAGAATTGTTCAAAGGTTGTGTGGAAAGGATTTAAGCTGGCTACCGTGTAATAATAGGAATGCAGAGAATACAGTGGACAAAAGAAACTACCTCATTGTGTGAAGGTTTTGTAGAAGCACAATTAAACATTCTGAAATGGCTTTGTTGCCCAAGAGCCATCTGGTGTGAAGAACTCTGTATTTGTTTGTCTAAAGGACCTGGAGTAATTGTATTTTGCTGGCAACAGACACATTCTTTATTGTTTGCTGGTTCCTCGTCAAATCTGTAATTATGCAGTTTCTGTCATCAATAAAGCAACTTAAAAGGAGTCCTGTTTGTGTCGTCTTGATGCAATTGTCATTGTTGTGTGCATGGAATAGTAGTGCTTAATTACCATTTTATGATTCCCAAGGCTTTTGGTCAGGGGATATAAGCATACTGTGGTATTTTTAGACCAGAATGACATTGAGAGAGTGAAAAGGATTGAACACACCAAAAAAGACCTGAAACCAGAAATATGTCTTACCCTTCAAACATTGGAGTAAGAAGTACAAGGGACATTTCTAAATCATCCTTTCCTTTGGTCATTAATTTATCAGTAAAGTGTAGGCTTGTCTTGAATTTTGTACAGAATAGTGGGACGTGATTTCCTCTTCCCATTTTCTGTCCTAATGGAAATACTTCCTTGATATAACCGTACACCCATATGTGGTTAACTAGATTTAGAATAAAATAAACTCCAGAAAGTTTGGAAGTGAAAGGTATGTGATTGACATCTACAGAACATCAGTGATAGATTCTTTTAGCCCCAGTAGGACCAATACTGTATGTATAATCTCAAAAATACCTGTCTTTTAGAATAAAGCCAAATTTAAATACATCGGAGGACTGTATGTTTTGTTTTCTTTTGATTTTTTCCCCCCAGGAATAGTGGACTGTATAAACTGCACAATATGCAACTTAGATGTTAAGTCTTGTTAGTTGGGTGTCTATTAAAAATGTGCTTATTATTTGGGTGGTATAAAAGATGTGCTTCTAGATGACTCAAAGCTTCCAAACTTCTTGAATCCATGTGTTATTTTTTTGTTTGTTTTGGTGGGGGTTCCTCATTGAATTTATTGGTACATTTTAGGTATACAGTACAGTTACATATTCATTATTGGGATCTTGTACCTTTACATTACAGGTCTTGGTTCTCATTTTTTCCCCTTATCCCTGCCCCCTGTTTTTTGTTTTTTGTTTTTTTGAGACAGGGTCTCACTATGTAGTTGAGACTGACCTGGAACTCACTATTTAGCCCAGGCTGGTCTCACAGGGATCCTCCTGCCTCAGCCTCCCGAGTGCTGGGATTACAGGTGTGCACCACCACGCCCGGCATTGAATCCGTGTTTTGAAGAACGCTTACCTGCTAGATCCTGTCTACCTGTGAAAATACTGTCCTTTGTCAAGCTCCCATCGAGAA